GCAACTGTTTCATCATTTGTAAAACACCAGCAGTGTTGCCTACCTCACTGGGTTATGGTTAAGAATTAGATGAGGCAATATAATGCTAAAGTGGTCCTTTCCCACAAGACATTTATAATCCTAACAGGGGACACAATTTACACACAATTACAGAAGAACAGAAGACCATGTCTGCATTATTCCTAAATCTCATGTAAAATAAGATGATTAATTGGACTAAGCGTGCTGTAAATATTTACAAATCTCTTCCAGTTAAGCACACTGATGCTCACTGATTTTGGTTTGCCGGGAAGGTGTTTTGGAACAGGTGGAGTGGGGGTTTAGGGGTGATGTGTGGGCAACACAGCCCCACACAGTTCTGGCCCTGTGGAAGAGCATGGAAACACAGCATGTGGTGGGCAGTCAGACCCTTTACAGGCATGAGCCCGTGTGGTCCTCACTGGCACCTCCAAGGCATCTTTGTCACTATGTTCCTGAGGCCCAGGAAGATGAAGGAGGTTACCGACTGTCTCACTGTAGTTGGGAAGGGAATTCAGATTTGGACCCAGGCATGACTGCCTACCAAATCTGCATGGCAAGTGGCCTTTAGCTCGCAGCTATCGACTGTGTTCAACTGCCTCTCCATTACAGCTTAACAGCATGACAGTTCTGGCTAAAAGTCAGGGGCTGTTCTCATTTTTCTGTGTGGTTCCCACGGAAGAGGTGAGCAGAGCCAGCTAGTGGGACACCCCTGGCAGGGTGCAGCGTATGTCGGGGCCAGCCAACTACACCCCCACTGCACTATCTCCTCCTCTTCTCAGGGAATGGGGTATCTTCTTCCTTTTGATCCAGTGCTAATTCATACAAAGGATTAACAGGCCAAAGGGCTACTCTTTATGGAGGACTGTAGGTCAAACCATGAGAGAGGGGACTCCATACTCCTCTAACAGGCAAGGCTAGCTCAATGGGGTGACACTGTCTCAGTCAAACTAAATGGACAGGATAGGAGTGTGGACCCAATGCCAGCACCTAGGAGAGGTGATGGGGCGTGGAGGGCTTCAGAGCGCCTGAAGGAGACAGACCTGGATGCTATTTCAGAGTGACGTGGGAGGCCAGATGTGGGAAGTGATGGGCACATCAGTCAGCAGCTCACTCCATGGGCTGCGAGCAGCTGCTCTGCCTTATATTCTTCCATGATATATCATCTGTAGAGTCCATACTGTTGCCATCTTCCCACCACAGGCAGATGCCAAGTACTAGAGCGTACATTACTTCTGTAATCCGAAGCAGCAAACTGCAGCGGCAGAGAGCAGTACACAGCAGTGGGAAATAAGGCTGCCTGGAGCCCTCGGCTCATAAACTGCTCTTGGCCAGAAGTAGGTCAGGTGCTTCTCTCTGCTGAGAGGCAAAGAGACCTACGGAGCCTGTGGACTTCTTACAAGAGGCAGTGGTGTGGTTGAGGAAGGCAGTGGACTGGAGGGTGACTGGCATGCACTGAGCACCTGCTGGATGCGGGACACCACCTCAATGCTTCTCATGGACATTTCACCCACTCTGCCCAGGACCCCCATGAAGGCAGAAATGAGCAATGGATGTAGGGATGACAATTAATTCAGGTCACTATGGGTCAGGAACCCAGGCCTATGTTGTCTGCACTTTCTAGGGAGCACTGTTGCCTGACACATCTGACTCATGAGATGCAGTGCCAGGCTGGGAGGGAAGCCCTGCTGCTCACCCTGGCTAGGACTCTCCTGTCTTGCTCTGTTGGGAAGCCTTGGGAGGTGCCAGAGCACAGCAGGGCTTGGCGTGCCCCTTTTTTATTTAGGAAGGGGAGTGCCTCCCACAGAGTCCATAATGCTATCTAATGCAAAGCACTCATTGCGTAGTTAAGTATACATCTTCTCTCTTATGCCCTATTTAATTTTCCAAGATAAGCAGGAAATAAGTGAAATCCATCATACACTTGCATTCAGAGATCTCACCTCAAACTACGAATGGGTGTTACAAAAACTGAACAAAACCCTCTTTAGAACCTGACCACCACTGAGGACCTTCCTAAGCAGAAAAGAGAAACTGGTTTTGAATCAAAGCACTGTATCAAACAATATCCACGTCACTAATTACTCTTCCTTTAAAAAAAAAAAACAACAACTAGGATCAAGACAGCAGGCAGTTAAAGTCACGGAACGCTGCGTGGGAGGTGGAAGCTTGCACAGTGGCCGTGTGCGCGACTACAGGGGATGCCAGTCCCGGGCAGAGTCTCTGCTGCAGGCTTTGTGGGCTGGGGGCTGCTTGCCACCCCCTCCCCACCCAGCCAGGCCATCTCTGCTGCACTTTATCTAGGAGAGGGGCCAGAGAAGTGGCAGAGTCACAGTGCAGAGGGCATCTGCTCTTGGAGGGGTGCTTCTGGGAGAAACATGATTTTCTTTGCCATGGTTCAAAATAACACAAAAATACATTAAGCCTGGTTTTATTTATACACATTCTTGAGGCTCTTGACATGTGGCTGACAGTAGACAGTGCTCAGACTGACTGAACCCCCAGCATTTATGGTGAGACTGAGGGTTCCAGGGAAGGAGGAACAGGGAACGACATTAAGGAAGAAAGGGCCAAGATGCCCCAGAGAAGTTTATGATTCCATTTCTATAGGACATGTCCTGAACAGGCAATGTACAGATGGAAGGTGAGGGGTGGTGACTAAGGGGAGCTGGGTTTCTTTTGTGAGGGTAATAAAATTGTACTGATGGTTGCTAACTCCATGACTATACTAAAAGTCATTGAATTGTACAGGGCAATTGTGAACTGTATGATAAGTAAATTGTATCTCAATAAAGCTGTCAGAAAAAAAAAAGCAGCTGCCTTGAAATAAAGGGACATAGACAATGCCAACTGGAGACATTCACTGGGATGGCCTCAAGGGCCAGCAGAGCTAGAATTCAAGGCATGTGAGAAATGGGATCAAATGTGGAAGTGTGCTCTAGGGCACTGCGACAGTGGTTTGGGTTCATTTTGCTGCTGGATAGAAAGCCACCATGGTATTCTGCACTCCGGACATGGGCTACATGCTTATCGGGAGCTGGGGGAATGTCACAGAAAGCTTGGTAGGTATCTGGCTAGACCCAATGATGCTCCCCTCCAAAGTCACTGGAGAAGAGAGATGGGACCCCAAAGGCCAGTGCCTGGGAACCCTCTGCTCCTGCTCTCCCTTGCCTGGCCCTTTGTTGCTGCTGGGCTGAGCATGGGCCACACACAGTCTGAGATGCGGAGCCTTGGTGGCCCTACTACTAGGAGGCAAAATCTCACTGCAAGAAAGGACTTGAGAACTAGGAACTTCTCCATCTACAGTAGTATGTGGCTCAGAATAACTACTAGAAATTCTTACCCAAGTTAACAGAGTTATGCATCCTTTTATTGATAATCTTTCATACGTGTACACACACACACACACGCACATGCACATGTGCACTCATGGGCACACAACTTAGGCCCCTCTCGCATTATGTTTTCCGACCACATTTTTGAACCGTCTGCTCTCCACTGACGCTTGAAGTATAGTTAAGGACCCAGCAGGGAATGGAGATCGTTTGATTCCAGGGTCAGTTGGCACCCAGGGTGCTCTTCGACCCCTGGACAGGCAGAAGCCTTCAGTGTACCCCAAGAATGCACTTCAGGAACAATTACTGCAAACAGCAGGACTCAGAGTCCCTCCTTAAATGCTATCAGGCCTTGAAGTACAGAGTGGCGCGCTCTCCTCTCCCCACAGGTGTCTCCCTGCTCTTCACCCCCCTTTGACCTGCTGTGGGCTCTGTAGATGTCACCCTCCCTTCACCTGCCCTGGGACAGTGGGGGGCCGCAGCCCCACAGCCCACCCCTGAAGAATCCTTTGCTGCAGCTCTCCTGTTGACTGACTGCCAAAATGTGGGCTCAGGATGTCACACTCATCTCCCTGCTGACTGCGGTTTCACATCACACATTTCTATCCTGTCTCTGCGGGGTGTGTCTGGCCCGCAGCCTCCTCCCCTGCTGGATGACAGCCCATGATAGGAAAGGAGTCTCAGGCTTTTGGGCTGACGTCCTAAGAAGCTTGGCCATGAGGCTGAGCTCTGGCTACCTCCCCGTTTCTCTCCTTGCCACCTCCTTCCACTCTAGGCCCCAGCAGCTCCCTCACACTCCACCTCCACTCACCACCCAGCACAGACCCCAGGGCTCCCTTCCCAGGGTCTGCACCTTCCCCAGACACAACTCTGTGAGTAGGCAACACACTTCCTCTCCAGTGCAGACATCACCTCCTTCAGGAATCTCTCCCGGCCTAGGTGCCTTATCTGCATATTTTTCTCACCAGGTATGAAGGTCCTTGGTGGCCAGAGCCATGGCATGTACAATTTATCCTTGTATCCCAATGCCTGGCACATAGTAGGTCCAAAATAAATGCTGAATAAATGAATGAATGAATGATGATAGAGACTCAAGGTCACTCTGTCATTAGCTCCTGGGAGTAGGCTGTGGATTCCTGTAGAGATGGATGATGACCAGCCACATAAAGAAAAGTAAGGGGATACCTAGGGATGAGAGTCAAGATGGCTATAATTTCGAGCACACACTTCACTCATGCACATAGGCACATGCAGACACACAGCTGCAAACACACACATGTGCATACTCATGTGTACACACACCCCTCTCTGGATGCTGGGGAGCCAGCAGCTGCTAGCAGGGAGCCTGCTCAAGCATTGCTGGCCTCTCTGAGCCCATCCTGTCCCAGCCAGCGTTCTTCTGCAGTTCTTGGAAGAAAAGCTGTCGTTGGAGGCTCCTCAGACTTTCCAGGTCCTCTGGAGACAGCGGCGTGGCCGACTCCCCCAAGTCCTCCTCCTCCTCCTCTTCCTCCATCTCCCTGAGTCCATCAGGGGGCTGCGGGGAGCTCCTGGAGATGTAGCCCTGGTCAGACTGCACTGACTGCCGCTGCTCTTCCTCGGAGGGCGTGTAAGGGTCTTGCTGGAGGAGTGACAGCATCAAGCCTTCCAGCTGCTCCCTCATCTCCTTCCGGAGAGGCTCGGGAGATGCCTGCAGGGAGCTGGAGTGAGGCAGTGGACCCTCTGAGTCCTCGGGGAGGAAGAGGACACTGCTCTGTTGAGCGCCACTGCCCCCTAGCAGCGGGTGGTCCTCGCCTTCCTCCATCACAGGCAGCTGGCTGGCCACGCTGCCCTCATCAGCTAGAGGCAAGGGCTCCATGGCCCAAGCCGAAGGGACCTTTTCCACAGGGAGCACTGTTGTTTGCAGGGGCTGGGCCGAGGGCTCCCCCTGGGGTGGCAGCTGAGGCTCCAGTTTCCACACTCCTCCTCCTCCCTCTTGGAGGAGCATGCCCACTGCCAGGCCACTGGCGCCCACAGAGGTTGGCTCCCGCTCCAGGGGCCTCTGCCTGACGATGCCCCTTCCTGGTGGCAGCAGCAATTCTTCGAATACCTCTTCATCCAGGGATGGAAGGTCCTGGTCCTCTGCTGAGCACAGGTTCTCCTGCTCAAACCAGTTGGGGTACTGGGTCTGCCACTCCTGGAACCGCTGCACGGCCTCCTTGAGCTGCCAACCGCTAGGGCTCTGCAGGTAGTTTTCGCCAGTGAGCTCCCCGACACGGTGCATGCGGCCAGGCTCAAACATCTCCAGGTCCTGGATCCGGAAGTACACCTCCTCAAATCTGTCCATGAGGGCGTACCTAGGAGTGATGTTGAAGAGGTCAGGGATGTCGCCCTCGCTGCTGATGCCGCTGAAGTAGCAGATGATGTAGGTACCGAAGCAGGCTGGCTTTCTGAAGTCTGGTAGGATCATGTTCATGGCTGCTGTGAACAGGTCCCCAGCGGGCTGCCCACGGTCACATCGCAGCTGGATGGTAGGTTCCTCCCAGCCGAGGATAGCTTGCCACTTGGCCTGGGTGCCTCGGGAGCACAGGACGATGATTTTGGAATTACTTTCCACCATTTCCTGTTTCTGGTGGCCCACCCAGGTCATGACCCCCACCTCCGAGATGACCTTCTCCTCTAGCAGGTCCAGGGCTACTTCGGTGCCACAGACAGTGAGCAGGAACTGGGCAAACTTTAGGACCACGTCCACGTAGAGGGGGTGGTCGGCAGAGTAGACAATCCAGACCTTCCTTGGCTTCAGGGCCGGGGGGGTCAAGTCAGCTGTGGGCAGGACATCTAGGGAAACAAGGCCACGCATGTGCTGACCCTCCCACCACAGGCCCAGGGCAGCGGCCCCTACTGGCCACGCTGGGAGGGGCCTGGACCAAATACAGAGCTTTGCTCCCTAGACTAAGACATGCAACTGAGGACCTTGGAACAAGCCAGATGTTGCTGCTTCACTGCCTGAGAAAACGCAATCTGTGCCTTCTGGGAAAAAGAATCTCTCACCCATCCCTATCTGGTCTTTAGCCTGTACTTTAATCATTTTAATTAAAACAGGAAAAGAAGCACAAAGGCTGCCTGTGGAATAGAAATGTCTGCCGCAGGGAGGGCCTCTTTTCACCCAATATGGTACACATCCCTTCCTTTCCTTGTCTGAGTGATTCAAACAGTAGCACCTCAGGCCTGGCTGTGGGGGCTCCCTGCAAGCCCTTGAGTGGGGCTCGGGGCCTGGAGGGTCCTAAGGTAGAGTCTCCTGAAGGGACTTGGGAGTCAGACCTCCTAGCAACCTACCCACCCACTTACCCCTGGGGAGCCTCCCCCACAACATACCACACATGTGCACACACATGCGCGCACACCCAATCCAGGAAATACCCACCAGTGCATTTGCTGCCAGTACCATCTTTTTCATGATGAGACCCTGAAAGAAAAAGAAATATACCGGAGTGGCTCTTTGGGAAGAGAACTAGGGACCAGCTCACAGGGGAAGTGCTACCCACCCCTGACAAGGGACAAAGGTAGGGCA